AAAATGGTTCTTCTTTCATATCTTTTCTAATTTTCTTGGTTTCCTCAGAAAGCTTGGAAATAAAATCTTGAACATAATTGAGACAATTAAGAAATTTCTGACATTGTAATTTATCTTACAGCTTGTCTGAAAATATTTTAATTTTCTGGATGACATGGGGCTTCATCTGTGTTTGGCCTTTGGAGATATGTATACCAAGAAAATCAATTGATCTTTGGCGATCTGAAATTTGTCTTTTGAAGAAGAAAGGCCTATTCCATGTTTCTACACAATTTCCGCAAATATTATGAGATGCTCCAGATGTTCCTGCATGTTATTTGAACAGACAACAAAATCATTTATGTAGTTAGCAATAAAATCAAATAATAGTTTGACTATTGAATCCATCCTCCTCTGAAAATGTGAGGGAACATTTTTTAGTCCGAAGGGCAATACTAGCCATTCATATAGTCCTTCAGAAGTAGAAAAGGTTGTTTTGTGAATATCTTCTTTAATTTTCACTTGGTGGTACCCTGATTAGCAATCAAATTTTGAGAAAATCCTTTTTTCTGCAACTCTCTGTATCAACTCTTCCTTATTGAGTAATAACCATTTAACATCTATTGTTACGTAATTTAAAGGAATATAATTAATTACCATTCTGGTTTTTCCTCTTTTGCCTCTGAATGATTTTTCACAATAAAAAAGCCGCACAAGAATAATTTGATTGGGATGGCCTAATTAACCTTTTTTCTATTAATTCTATTATCTGACTGTCATCCCTTCTTCATCATCTTTATTGCATCTTATAGGCTTACTCTGAACTGGGATATCATGAAGAGATGGTATATGGGCATCGGGTGAATCTTTATCCCATTTTTCCCGAAGATGTTCAACACAATATTGTTTGAGGATTTCTGTGATTTCTCTTATATCAAAAAATTTTGAACTAGCTTCTAAGCTCATGCCCTTTATTTGTCTGATGATTTCTTATTTCTCATGTTCATTTTCCAGCTTGCAGACATCTTTAATGATTTTTATTATAGAATGATTGCTTGGAATTTTGTTTGACGTCATTTTGAAAGTTGGTGGAATTCAAGGTACAACTTTTTTTTCTCCTTCCATAATAAAAATTATCATATCTCTCGATACTGTGTAAGGGCTTATTTCATCTAGAGTTAGAAAGTCTATTCCTGCTTGACATCCTCCATCCTCAATATTAACAAGATTTACCAAAATCATTTTTTCTTCAATTTTAACAGATCATTGTTGGCAAATTCTATGGATTTTTTTCTACCATTCATAGTATCCACTTCTTGTCCTTGAGAATATTTCACCCAATTTTTCCTTAATTCTTTGGTGCAAAAATTTATGTTAGAGCCAGTATCAAGAAATAATTCAATCTTTTTCCAATTTCCAATTTTCACCTCCATCTATAGCAATTTTCGCTAGCACTAATAACAAATTTTGAGAGCACCATTTTCCGAATTTGATACAAATTTTCTTTTGGAATTTCACTCTCTTTGAATGGTTTTTCAAACAATTTCTTGTAATCACCCTTATAGTCACTTTGAAAACCATGTTTAATTTGTTCAACATGAGCATCTTCATCCAAAAGCACTAATGAATCACTAGATTCATCATCACTGGATAGAGAACTTACAAAGTCTTCTTCGATTATTTGGTAAGGGTAGGATGTCGAGCATTCTTCCTGGTGTTTGTTCTTTTCTACCAAGACAACATCTTTCCAAGTCATCATCTTGCTTTGTCTCACCATTTATTCATTTTCATCACCTATACTTTCATCATTTGGAGCCAAAGTACAAGTAGAGACAGAGTCTAAAACTTTTTGAGATCTCCATTGCACAACAAATTTGTTTTTATGACTCTCCAATCAACTCCAAAAAATTCCTTTTCTGAAATCTCAACAAACACAGGCCAGGCAAAATCATCTTTTGGGATTAAATATAAGTGTGAAAGGGCATAAAATTTTCCTCCATCATTACTATAGTAATGACTTCCCCAAGATTCAATCATATGTACAGGAAATGCTTTAGTCTTTTCTTTCATCTTTTTTGGGTGAAGCACTAAAAGATCATGCATCATACATGAAATAATTAAATCCCATTCTCACACAGAGAAATATTTAATCCAATGATGTAAAAACTTGATTTCCAGTAAAGGTATATCTGAACTATTAGTTGTTGGCTTTTCTGGATAAGTAATATTATCATAAACCCATGCAATAAGCCATTTTTGATAAATCTTTTGCTTACCACGCTTCATTGCGGTAAGAGAGGTCAAAGGAGTGAACCTATAGGCTCTGATACCAGAAAGGGAGAGAGGTGAAGATAGTTGAGAGAGAAAAAAAAAAAAAGAGAAAAATTCAGAAGTATCATTTTTCTATAAACATCTTTTCCATGAGATCATACCATTATGCTACCCACATGATGAAGGTACAAAATCATTGGCAATGGCCTACAGCTATTATAATGATTTTCTTTCAATGTTTTTCCTCTAAAAAATGCACAAAATGACATGTTTTGGAATTTTATGACAAGAAAAAGTTGAATATCTAAGTCAACGGATAATATTTTATGGCATAGAATCAACTTATTTGTTTTTACTACACTACATATTGAGGTCGTATTATAAAGAACAATCCTTCAACAATTACGTGCCTACTTTCTTTGAAAATTGAATACATTGGTCTCCACGCAATGAATGCTAGAGAGCTTTCCTTTTGCAGGGTTAAGAGAGTTTTCCTTTTGCAGGGTTAAGAGCATAAAAAGTCTAGATGTGAGGCAAAAGTGGCTCATATAAATGTTCACTCTTTCTATCTACTGGCTGAAGCTAATTTTGAATCAAATAACAAACTTTGGAATGGATTCTTGGAGGCATCTCGCGATAAAGCACACACCTCCCCAACTTAACTTCAAATTTTGAGTTCTATCCTTACAGTTTTTATATAAACCCACTTTTCCTTACCGTGCCACTTTAGGTGATAACCCTTCGCTAGTGTTGATGTAGGGATAAGAAATAAAAGAAAAGAAATAAACCACAAAACAAAAAATGAAATTATACCCTCTTAAAAGTCTGCACGGGAATCAACCATAAAATTCATGGTCTCTTTCACAAGCCCTAAAAATTAATGTGCTTCTTCTCTCTACCTTTCTTTTCAACAGTATACAAATTCATTTTTAGGTGACACTTGTCTAATTTTTTGTATGAATAAGCAGTTTGGAACTTCAAGTTCCAAACTGCTTGATTTTCAAAAAAGATCAGTTTGGAACTTCACGTTCCGAACCAACATGTCACTCAGAAGTAAACCGCTACAAAATGCTTGAGATGTCCCAGATACAGCTGCAGCCAACTTCCACAGTAAACAAACCGCTAACTACATGCCTGCAGGAGGGCTACAGAACTTCCTGACTGCCTAGCTAACCATGTTCTGAAGCAGTAAAAAACAGTGTCTTAAAGTTTCACCTCCATCCCCATGCACAACAGCAACCGACTTGCTGTACAAAGATGTGCCTCACTAAATGCCTCATAATGAAGTGGGCCTTCCAACAATGCACAACCCAGAACTTACACACGATCAAGACAGGCCCTAAGGGATTATACAATGGGCACTTTCTCATGTTTTATTTGGTATCATCTCCTTTCCCTACAAGAACCTTGTCCCTTACGTGGCACCTCAATCTGCATCTTGGTAAGTAAAACAGGATTTTGATGCTTAGAAAATGTCACTAATTTTCTATATAACCTTGACATATAGATAGACGCTTTTCAATGTCACATCCCAATCCACATTAATGAAGAATAGCACATTAAACCACAGTTTCAAACCAAAATGTAGACTCCATAGGTCACTATTATCAAGTTAACTCGACAAATCTGCAAGTGGAGTACACAGGTCACGCATATTGTTTTCATAATTTTTAGAAGTATGTTATAACATAGAAAATAAAATAAAACCTTTTTAGAAAATAAATAAACAAAAAATTGTGATAAGTCACCTAGAAACTTTTCAGTCACAATATGTGGAGAACAAAAAAATATTATGTTTATTAAAGCCCTATAATGGGCAAAGATTTGTCACCCAATTGTTTTTTGCCATTTTGCCCACTTCCTCAGAAGTATATACCCCAAAGGTATCTAAGATGTTGCTTTATTGTATCCAATGATCTCCAAAAGAGGTCAACTGCTTTGACCATCCCTCTGAAATTCAAAGGGGCCTCATCAATCACAAAGGAAGAAAAGAATGTACTCTTAATAGGACCATCAATTCACCCCAAACAACGACACACTTTACCTAAATCCAGTGTTTCAAAAAGCACTAGGCGACACCTAGGTGGGCGGGGGGGGTTCAGGCCGCCCAGCTCCTAGGCGGGCGCCCAAAACCAGGGCAGCTCAGTAGAAATTTTGTCATTTTTTTTGGTTCTCTCTCTAAAATAGACTCTAATGGTATTACGTTTCAAATAAACCTAAAACCCACAATGTTACACCTTTATTATTACAAATATAACCCAAAAATACCCTCAACGTCAGGCATTTCCACCCCTTGGTAGGGTGTAGGCCCTAGGCAGCCACCCAAGGATATCCACTTTTTTGGGGAGCCTAGGCCTGGGCGATGCGTCCTGGCCCCCAAAACTGCCTAGGCGGCCACACAGGCGTTGGGCAGTCTGCTTTTTGAACCATTGCCTAATCAAAATCATTACATCCCTCAACCCCCACAGCCCTACACCAACCTAGAAATACTAGCATAGCAACTCAAAAGACCACAGTACTTTCCTATATACATCATAAACATATCAAGTAAATCAACCTGCAGAAAGAAACAAGCAAAGAAGGTAAAATAACATGGGAATGATAGTATCATCCATCAGCATTGACTCCAAAAAGAAACAAACCAGATTTTGCTTAAGAAATAAAGATTGAAACTCTTATGCCACGTCAACACGATATAAATACTTGACATATGTACCATAGAAAGAATATATCAGGGCATAAAATTTTACCTTCATGTAGTTATGAACGTGAGTAAGATCTTCTGGAATAGTCCAATTTTTTAAGTGGCCTAGAGCAATCTCCAAGTGGTAAAGCTTAGGTGCCAAACTCAAATCAGCAGCACAAATTTTTTCAACATTAATGTATGGGCCCTAAAGATAAAAAAAAATTGGTCATATGCCTTCTCAATATGATAGTAAATGGAAATCTGTTAGCATTTTAGGAAGCCTAATTGACATTCGCTACCAACACGCACGCATAAAGGTCAACACATATACCACAGCTCACAAAACTCCATATTAAAAGTATAGTTTTCCTTTACTCGCAAGTTTTGAGTTGTTGTTGCTGAGAAATTAAACACCACTTTCCTATATCATAGACAAATACCAATTAGCATTATATTAACTGACAGTCCTTCCAAAAATAATACAATAGAAAATATAATAAAGAGAAATAACAACATTCAAGGCTTAATTCAAGACAATTCAGGCCCTATAGCATGTTCACATAAGTATTTGTGGAAATAGAAGCCAGAATCTCAATAACTAACATCCTTCACAGGAGAACTAAATAACTATATTCTAATTAGAAAAGATTAAGACCAATGTTCAAGAAACCGGGGATGGCTGTCCGAGCGGTTGGGGTTCCCAACCGTCACTGGACGGCCACTGCATGGAGGGGTAGAGGAGAAAAAAACAGAGAAAGAAGGGGAACGCCCCCTGAACCCCACCCCCCCCGCCCCCTGCGGTTTTCAAATTTCATATTTGCATTATAAATTCGAAATAAAAATAATCAGAGAAATAGCATCCTTCACAGGAGAAGTAAATAACTACATTGTAATTAGGAAAGATTAAGACCGATGTTTAAGAAGACGGGAGCCGACCGTTTGCGCGGTTGGGGTTCCCAATCGTCTCCCCAAATAATATTTTCCCCCTTTTCAAAAGGAGAAAATGACATTTTTGGCCATTTTGGAGAAGGCAATTTCCGCCCTCGTCAAAAGGGCCCTGCGAGCAATTCCCTAGGCAACTAGTCAGTCCACCCAGGGTCACCGCACCGTGGCCGACTTTTTGAACACTAATTAAGACACCATGAGCACCAAAATCTTCTCCTAAAACACAAGTGTTCCATGCAAGGAACAAACACCGGGCCTTTTGTTTTATGGTCCCTTTTGGGGACAAATTTTGAGTCTTTGAATGGTCCCTAATATATTTTATTGCTAGAATGATCAGACATTTGCTTTTGCATGTGCTAGCTTAGTACTTACCACTGTTTAAAGACCTGGCTCTAAGCCTCAGGACTCACCAGAATCAGCTAAAGGTGGGAAGTAGCCTAATTTCAAAAGAGTCAGCCAATTCTTACCAATTTCTTTTTCATAAAGAAAAAAAAAAAAGGCTGAGCCTTCCCAGGTCTTACTGATTCAGGACACCACCTGCATCTTTGTAAGATTGGTAATCACATTCATTAATAATCCGGTTTCCACATATGCTTCTCATGGGTAGCCCAAAATTTTTGATCATAAGTTACTCACGAAAAAAAAGGCTGAGCCTTCCTAGGTCCTACTGATTCAGGACACCACCTGCATCCTTTTAACATTGGTAATCGCAATCATTAATAATCCGGTTTCCACATATGCTTCTCATGGGTAGCCCAGAAGTTTTGAATCATAAGCTACTGCCAAATTTTTGGCAAAAAGCTTGTTGAGAAACCAAAGTATCCAAAACTTACAAAAGATACAAACGGTCAAATTCAATAAGGTTCTAAAAATTAATAGTGATATTTTATCATTTACAATTTTTTTTTTTTGAGAGATAGATTAAACTTGAGTAATGTGTTAAACCATGTTTTGCATCCAAGGCATCCATCCATGCACTTCTCCATCCTCCAAGTCAGTTCAACCTAGACAAATATCTTGTCACACTTATTATATTTCACATGCATAACAGTACATATTTACTGGGAGAGTGAATTTCAAAGCATGGGGATCAAACCCAAGACAAAAGACTGAAGAGTGCCAAACCATTTGGGCCCAAAGGCCAATATAGGCTTATATCATGATATATTGTAAGGAAACACATACATGTGCTTTAAGATGATCGTCCAATGCACGCAACTCATCCAAAAGTGCCTGCTCTGAGCTATCGCTAGGATCCTTGCTTTTCAGAAACTTGACAAATGAAGGGAAAATCTTTGATCCTCTGCAATATCAATATTCAATAAATGAATGACATGTTTTTGAAGGAAGTACAGTCACATACTGGAAAAAGGATCTATATGAAATAGCAGTGATACAGTAAATTTGTTTAGAGATATTCATGTAGGATCCTATGCCATGTGTAAAATGGGTGCAATTAAATCAGAATCTTGGTTACATTACATTTCTTGTAATATTGTGGGCATTTATTGCACAAGAGAGCACAGGGAAGAACCTAAGCTAGGTTCAAAGATGGAGCATAGTGATTAAAAACATCAATATGATGACAAAGAGCTTGAAGACAGTATTTCAGTGATCAAAACTAGCAAATTCATGAATAATAGAGCCATGCCACCAAATCCCATGGTTTCCGAAAGGTGGTTTTGGAAAGGCCTCAACAATGATAACAACGATATACACAACTTAAAACACATAACTAATAGGTAGCATGACATCCATCACACAAGTAGATAAACTATAAATTTCGTAAGTAACATAAATCACGAAGAAGAATTATCGATCTGCAAAATCTAACCGAGACAAAACAATATTCTCCATCAGAGATGCACAGTTGGTAAACAAGATAAATTATCTTCGAATAGTGTCCAAAAGTTTTGTTGTGGAACCAATCATCTAATTCCATGGGAAAAACAATATTCTCCATCAGAGATGCACAGTTGGTAAACAAGATAAATTATCTTCGAATAGTGTCCAAAAGTTAAATTATCTTCGAATAGTGTCCAAAAGTTTTGTTGTGGAACCAATCATCTAATTCCATGGGAAATAGTCCTAAAAATCATGAGATTAAGGGGCATTAAAATGGTCACTGCTGTATATAGAATAAAACTGAAGATTTTGATGAAGAATGTTAATGTTGAACAGTTGAAACTTCCAAGAATGCGTGTTAATTACATTTCTACATGTTTAGTTGATGGATGTCTATCACAGAACACATACTCTTGAAGTTTATTCAAAGATTGCTAGTTGGAAAAGGATAAAAGCAGGATATCCTTATCCTGTTTTGAATTTCAATCCAATCCTTGTTGATTTAGGGATTAAAATGGCTTGAAGTTCATCACGAAAAAACTGTATGGTCAAACTGTAGTCTGCAAACAGAAGGTTTATAAAAATTAAAGTAATCTAAGCTTCATAATCTTTATGTATCAGTGAATATGTGAAAAGTACAAACTAAAATTTATAGCTTTACAATCAATCAAGAAAACCAAAAATTGAGAAAGTGCAACAGTTGGAATTCCATAACTAAAAGTTTAAAAAGGGACACCCATTAAAAAAAACCATCTATAAGAAAATAAACTGTAACTTTACAACGTCATATATTCAAAACGTTTTCCTAATCATTTTAGATATCCTCCTTACTTTTGTATGGCATTTCCTTTTTATCTTTCCTCAAGATTTTATCCAAAAAAAAAAAATCTGAAATATCCAAGTGACTTCCTCTAGCAAAGTTTGCAAAGTTATCAAGAAGTTCCAGAAAACAAACTTTGTTACTATAATTTGCTACTAAGGCTTTAATCTATACTTTTAATATCTATTCCTTCAGTACATTATGATGAACTTCCCATTTACAATAAGGAAAAGGATAGAAGAGAAGCCCTGCCAAAATTGGACTACATCCATTATCAACACAAAGAATATACTAATATAGTATTCTCACAAGGAAGGCGCATGTGCATTCTTTTAAGAGAAAGCAAGCAGTATATGATAGAAACCGACAAGCAAAAGCAAGCAAGCAGAGAACCAAAGCACGGCAAAACACAAGAAGCAAGAATATAGAGTAGTCAAGAAAAGCATGAGCATCAAGTATATATAGGCCATGACAAGAGTGCATAAGGGGAAAAAAAGAGAAATCATCATGTGGCAGTTGCAAAATTTGTTTGTACATCATGCATCTCGAAGATGGCAAGGAATAGTTTACATTCTTTTTCTAGCAATGTTTTTATTATAATATTTCACTATTTTAGAATGAAATACAATAAATAAAAGAGCAGGGAGTAATGGAGACATCAAGGTGGCATTTCAGAAAATAATATTTTCTCTAGTCTCACAGCTATTTGCCAAAGCATTTGGCTTAGCATTGGTTCCTCTGAAGATGGCAGAAAATTAAACATCTGATGCAAAAGTTAAGGAAAAAACAAACTACGTCCTCAATTTGCATTCTCCACAGTTTCAGCATCTCCCTGCATGCCCATATAATAAAATTAAGACAATTAACCTCCAATATAATCAGTACTGTCAACGCAAAGCTAAAGGCCAACAAGAACGGCTTCATATATTACTTAGTTTGTTGTAATATTACATGCATTATTTGCGGATCCACCATGTCCCTGTTTTTGGCACTGCCATGTTGCACACCTTTGACACATGTCAGACATTAGAACGTGTTTTTGTGTCCAGGTTACTTCGTCCAACTAAGAACTTTCTACTTAGAAAATTTTATCTTTCGGTGGAGATTTTCATTTTCCGATTTTTAAGTTTTAATTTTGAAAAGCATTAGGAGGAATCATTGACATAAATGGGGTCAGAGGTCATAGATATTGTCGTAGAATTAGATTATCTAAAGTGAAAGAAGCTTCAAGAAAGATGCAGATAAGAAAGGCGTTAAGACCACAACATATACCAATAGAGGTTTGGAAGCACATGGGAGAGATTGGCACATTCTGGTTGACAAAGTTGTTCAACAAGATTTTCAAAACAAAGAAAATGCAAGATGAATAGAGGGAAAGTAGACTTAGGTGGCTGGTCATTTGTAGCGTCCACCTAGAATAGCACCGGTTAGGATGGATGATTTAGTTCAAGTGGAAGGCTCTAAAAGGGCAAGGGGAAGACCCCAAAAGACATTGATGGAAGTAGTGAGAAAAGATGTGGTGACTTATAATCTGACTAAGGAATGGCATGTGATAGAACAAAATGGTAGAATAGGTTTCATATAGCCAACCCTAAATAGTTGGGATAAGTTTCAGATGATGATGGTAATGATGAATTTTGAAAAATGTACATTATATAAACTATTTTAAAAATTGAGAAAATCCCATGCTTCTAGCCTGGTTATCTCACTAAGCGATTGAGTCAACTCAAACAAATAACTAGTTAGATTCTTGACTTTATGGAAAATTTTCACTCATTAAAAGATGAATAACAAAATTTGCACAGCTCAAAATCCAAAGGCAGCTATAGCAAGGTAAATTCCAGGAAGATTTCGGACATTAGATGAAACAATTAAAAAATCGAAATGGCATATGATAAGAGAAAAATATTTTACACTTGCCATACTTATAGAATGGAGTACAAGGTATTACATATTTACAACAATCAAACAAGAGCTCTTTGTTCACATTCAGCAATAAAATTCTACTGAGTAGACTAGTATGATAGCTACAATTAATAGGGAGGTGAATGCTCTCCCTTCATTATAATATATTATAACAATAAACCCTCAAAGGCACACTGATAGAAGGACCTCAAAGGCACACTGATAGAAGGACATATTATTTGACCCCAAAAATTATAGCTAAACACGTCAAAGATCAATATGATATTATGATTATATTTACAAATTCACAAGATACACATTGAAATTCATGACATCATTCTGCCTTCTATTGGAAATTTTACAACAGAAATCAACAAGTGCAACTGATTAAAATGTGGATCATCAAGTCTATTCTGCTAAAGTTGAAATTAGAGAACAAAGTGTTGGAGATGTACAGGCATTCATGGAATCCATATCAAAGTGAGTTAGATGAAAGGGCACAATAATTCAGAGCAGAACCACCAATTCTATGACCCTTCATAGTATAACAATGACAACTAAGAAAGTCAAAACAAAAAATACAACTACAATCCATATGCTCACGACCTATTGCTGGACAGATAAAAAGCATAAAAACTATGGTGGATAAGTGAGGGAGACAATCAAAAGCACGAGGCAAACAAGAGATTTAGTCCATCGTTCACTCTTGATGACATCCATTCTCCAGTTTCAGCTTTATAAGAGACAAAAAAATTAAGGAATACAAGGGACTGGGGTAACTATCATCGCTATGAGCTCAAATGGATGGAAACAACAAATGGCAAAGAAGAAAACCAAGCAAATTATTGAAAATCACGTACTCTTGTACTACAAGAAAATCACTCTCATAATATAGCAATGTGATTTCATAACTAATTAAGTTCTTGAAGTCATTACAATTATCCTTTTCCCTGGCGCCAAAATGTTGGGTAAATCATCAAAACACCCTAAACAAAGGAAATACAAGAATGTCCAATCAAAGAAAACAACATTTGCAAATGAGGGAGAGATTACTATAAAAAGACGCATGTAAACCCAATAAAGAAAAAAAAATCACATAATTCAAAATATCCAGGGTGATATAGGTATAGAAGAAAGAAAAAGATTGTCACACATTTTGGGGTTTAAGGAAAAAAACATAATCCAATGGAAGCAAGCCATGCAGTAAATACAGTTTCTAAAAAACGAAATCTTTAATGGGAACAAAGGCTTAAAAACAAGGATTGTGACCCAGATCGCCCATCCGGAAAACCTGGCCAGTCTATCGGAGACCGGCCCACCGATTCCCAATATTTTGGCGGAACCAGGCTGGCCCCACCGATTCCTGATCTGAACCAGCCGGTTCCGGTCCCCTTTGTCGTTTTTCTAAACAATGAAGGGAACAAAACATGCATTAGTGTTTTTTGGGTACCCATCAACAAAAATTAACAATAAAGTAAATAATAATGAATAGTGACAACTAAATACTAAATAATGACACTTAATGAACAAGTAAAATAATTTCTTCAAGAAAAGGATAATGGAATGCAGAATCATAGAGTTTCAACGAAGATATGAGCATCATACACAGATGCATATTCAGGTGGAGTGGCCAATGAAGGATCAGGGTACTTCTCCTCGAGCAACTGCGTAATACAATCGGAATCACTGACCCATGTCTCATCTGATTTGAACAGTGGAACCTTTCCCTCTGGACTGATCTCCAAAAACCTAACCATAAAAGTAATATAAAAAAACAGTTGTTAAAACAAATGCAGAAAAAAGAGAAAACAATCTTCAAAAGGAACATTATGAAGAAAAAACGAACCATCAAAAGAAGGCATCATACTTAATCTAAAAATTGCAAAAGCAAGAGTGATGGATACGTACCATTTGGGTTTATCACTGAGGTTGACCATTTTCATGGCGTATGGGAGGTGCTTTTCCTCTAGGGTGAGAAGCATCTTCTGGCTAAATGGACCTATTGACCCAAAAATCACAAAACCAACCTTAGGGTAAAAACAATCAGAAACCAAACCACTTCCAAATCTAATAGCTAAACTGGATTAACAATGTGGAGGAAAAAATGGAAAAGCAATTGATGATTATTATACAAGGAGAACGAGCCTACAGTCACCAAGCAAATCGGGTGCTCCAGCTGCGGCCTTCACGCACACTTCGAAGGGAGCCACAGCCGCCATTGTTCCTCTCTCTCTCTCTACTCTCTATTTATCTCTCTACACTCGCTCCGCACTCCAGTGATTCTGTAAAACGCCAATGGCACCTAGTTCAATCGCTTTATTTAGTGAAAGCAAAGGACGGGTTGTGGCGATGGCCCACATTTTCAGACGGTTGTGGGAGCAAATGGGTGAAGGTACAGATTAAGAAACCGTGTCACACCTTGTGCCCAGGGTAGAAAAATTTCCACGTGTTTGTCAACGGGTGCGGTTCGTATATGGCTCATTCTAAAACGAAAAAGAAAAGATGCGCATGCTCGTAAGTTTATGGCTTAAAACTTTATGGAGAAAACTCATAAAATTTCACTCTTGTTTATTTTTAAGAAAAGGAAAAGATGAAAGTTTTTTTTTTTTTTTTTTTCTGGTAATAGGTCTCATTTCATGGGTACGTTTAGTTGGTATGAAAAGTTCACATAAAAAAAGTTCACATAAAAGTATTTGCCCATGTGAAGAGGTATAGAGGTTTTTTCACACCAACTGATCTATTTTATAATAAATTATTAAGCTACGGTGTAGATTGGTGTGAAAAAATCTTCACACCTCTTAATATGGGGAACTAGTTCCATACGAAAACATTTTCATATGAACTTTTTCATACAAACCAAATGTACCCTTAGCAAAATATTAAGGTTTGAGATATCTTTATGAAATTGAGGACCAAGAGTGTCCACGAATCACTATCCGAGATATAAGCAAGCAAAAACAATCAAATTGTAGTTAGCTACAAAACCTCTTTTGACACTCCACCCTTGGTGAGAGCATCAGCCTCGGCATTTGATTTCCTATAAACATGGTTAAACTGGATCTCTCTTGTACTAACCAAGTTCTTAATTTCACATAAAATTGAATGCATACCCTAAGATATTCAAACATGAAACCAAAGCACCAACATTATGGGAATCACCTTCAACAAAAACCTTGCCTGGGTGATATAAGAATAATCTTAGACCTTGTAATAAGGTCCTAAATCCAGCCTCATTCGATGAAGTATTTGCATCAACCTAAGAACAATAGGAATGTCACCCCTTAACGATTTCTCATAGTACGCCCTATTTCAGGAAGGCCAAGGTTCCTCAATGAACACAAATAAAACTTGAGCTTCATACAATTTTAAGGTACAACACACCATCAAGCCCTTTTCTACTCTTAAAGAATTTAATCTGAACACCTATTTAAGGTTGCAAAATCACATTCACCGCTTCAACCCTGTAGAAGAAATAGAAAAGAAGAGACAAGAAGAGAAGAAGAAGAAAATACAGCCTTATGTGGTTCGGTCTCTTGGACCTATATCCAATATTGAAGGGCTATTCAGTTATGTTCATTAATCATACATCCAATATTAAATAGAAGTTACAAGATAACAACTAAATAGAGCAGATTCCTCAAATATCTCTTAAATATATCACCAAGATATTCTTCACATTTAGTTACCATATGGGATTTGGGTAACCATATTATCTGTATATCATATTTAAGTAGCTAGTTGTATACGGTTACAGCTAGTTGTACACGGTTACATTTCAACGCTCCCCTTCAAGTTGGTGCGCTGATATCTATCAAGCCCAACTTGCTTAATATTTCTTGAAAATGTACTTTGCTTGTGGCCTTTGTAAGGATATCAGCAAGTTGATTTTTGCTTTTTGACAAATAGAGTAGTAATTTCCTTGGCTTGAACTTTCTCTCTCACAAAATGACAATATGTTTCTATGTGCTTATTTTGTTCATGAAATACAGGATTTGATGCGATATGTATAGCGTCGTGGTTGTCGCATTTCATAACGATTGGACGTAAAATATCGAAACACATTTCTCTGAAAAGAAATTTTAGCCAAATTAATGCGCAGGTTGTAGTTGTCATGGCTCAGTATTCGGCCTCTGCACTAGAACGAGCAACCACTGATTGTTTCTTACTTTTTCATGTTATAAGATTAACCCCTACAAATGTACAATACCCTGCGGTTGATCTTCTATCTGTAGGACTACCTGCTCAATCAGCATAAAAAAAAAGGCAATAATATCAGTATGACCATTTTTTTCATTAAAATTCCTTCTCAAGAGATGACGTAAGGTACCTTAAAATTTGATTGACAGCTTCAAGATGAGCAATCTTTGGAGAATTCATGAATTGACTTACCATACTGTCAGTATAAGCAATATCAAGTTTAGTTACAATGAGATATATAAGTAAACCAACCAAACGTTGAAACATGTAAATATCTTTCAAAGTTTTTCCTGAGTCTATGTTGGCTTTATAATTATGATTTTTGCTCAGGATTTCATACTGTAATTGTATTGATTTCACAAATTCGGACATTTCGTTTCAATATAAATCTTGGGATATATTGAAAAAATGTAGGAATAGTGCGAGCATATAAAAACCAAAATCAAATGATCCCTTTTTTATCATTCTGGAGAAGTAGTTGATTAAGTTGTTAACAAATAATCCAATGAGTTGTACTGTAAATTGCTTGGATTTGTAAAAAGAATGGTAGACTCCATCAATCTTTCATTCTTGATTTGTCTCAATTGGACTATCAATAGGTTTACACCCTATCTTACCAGTTTCGAGCAAAAGGTCTAAAGCATATTTTCTTTGCAAAATAAAAATTCCTCTGTGAGAGTAAGCAGCCTCAATTTTAAGAAAATATTTAAGTTTTTCCAAATCTGTAATATCGAACTTCGTATGAAGGTCATCTTTCAATTTTGTTATGATATTTGGCTCACTTCGTGTTACAACAATGTCATCAATATAGATATGGAAAATAACATTCCCGGATTGCCTTCTTTTAACAAACATGTATGAATTAGCATTAGTCTGAGAAAACCCTATATCAACGAGAACTTTCTTTAACTTTGCAAACCTTGCCTCGGGAGACTGTTTGTGCCCTTAGATTGCTTTCCTGAGCCTGCAAGCTACAGTTTTGTTGCCTTTTTTAGGATGACCAGGAGGAAGTTTCATGCAAACTTCTTCTTCCAAATCTCCATGCAACATGGCATTTTTTATATCTAATTGATATAAAGGTCAGTCATTGTTGGCAGCAATAGAAAGTAAAACCCTCACAGTATTGATTTTTACCACAGGAGTAAAGGTTTCCTTGTACTCAACATCATGGGTTTGGGTGAATCCCTTTGTGACAAGTCTTGCATTGTATCTCTCAATAGTTCCATCACTTTTATATTTCATTTTATAGACCCACTTGCATCCAATTGGTTTTTTTTCTTATAAGAAGAGTAGCAACATCCCAAGTGTGAGTTTCTTTAAAGCAACAAGTTTCTCTTTCATAATAGTCCTCCATACTCCATTTAAATTAGCTTCTTTGAAATTAATGAGTTCTTTAATTTGCGGAAATTTTGTTAAAAAGACATAATATTTACGAGATAATTTCTTAAAATCCATTTGTTTTTCAATGGGATAATGAATTTTGTGATTGCTTTCCTTGACATGATATGTATATTAATCTTTTAATCCATGAGGAGGTTGACTAATACAACCAGATCGTTTTGGCAGAAAGTCTTGAGGAATTATTTCCCCTTGATATTCATTTGATTGAACCTCCTCATTAGAGTCTTGTGATGTTTCAAGAATGGATTATTGAGGTATTTCCTAATTAGGTGTAGTACTTTTAATGATTTCGACTCTAGAATTAAGACCCTCTAGTTTTTAGAGATCTTGGGTAAAGGTTGTCTTGCTAATCTCCCCCTGAGGCTTATCAGTTTGAAAATAAGAAATTTGTTCATTGAATTCAATATTTTGGAAAACATACATTCGCCTAGTTTTAAGATCATAGCATTTGTAACCCTTTTTGGTAGGTGAACATTCCATAAGTATACATTTAATTGATTGTTTAACTAGTTTGTCTCTATGACTTTCTGATAAATACACAAAGCAATTACATCCAAGTATCTTTAAATGATGAACAGTAGGAGGGCAACCATGAAATATTTCATAGGGGCTTTTATTATCAAAGATTATAATAGACAGTCGATTTATTAGATAACAAGCAGTAAGAATACCCTCAAACTAGTATGCTTTAGGAACATTCATTTAAAAAGTAAGGTACATGTTACTTCGAGAAGATGCTTGTCTTTCCTTTCAACAATTCCATTTTGTTGAGGAGTTTCTACACATAACATCTGATGAATGATCCTATGATTCATTAAATATGAAGAAAAAGGTTTATTTGTATAAGTGTCACTATCAATTCTGAAAATTTTCGCCATAGCATCAAATTGATTTTTATCATGGAATGGAATTCTTTAAAGGTAGTTAAGACATCACTTTTAAACTGTTGGCTATATAGCCTTTCATGGCCTTAAGCCAATAGTCTTACGCTCAGTGGGAGTTAGAGAGAGATTGAATCTAGGTGCTTAGCGTTCTGGAGCCCAGATTCATATACCTCGAGCGTTTGAGGCATTGAGAGTGTGAACTCTAAGGGAGGTATGTGGGTCACCTCCCAGTCAGAACTATATTGATTAGAATGCCTCATAATTGATATGATAAGCCAAGAATTGGAGAATCTAATCGAGAATAATAGAACCCGAGTATTTAAAAGAGTATTCGCTCTGTGTGGAATAGTCAATTCATAGGACATGAGCCCGTATCCTGATACGAGACCGTTCCATGGCATATGCACCCACAGTTGTATGGGGAAGCCACTCTTCTATAGTATTATCCAACTTAGAAGAGCTAGTGCACATGTGCTTTAAGAGAACCCATGTATTTGAGTAGGAACATGTCCCATAAGGGTGCACCAGTAATCCATTGAACCCCTGATGATGAGAAGCTCTGGCTCAACGACTTTGATGTGACCAATTATATGTCCATGTCATAGACTATGGAGCAATAGTCCATTGGGTCAGCTTGAGACACTGGTGACACGTCATTCAAGTAGCCTAATGGAAGACACCGACTAGTATTATAAGTCTAGAGATCTCATTTATCTTTGACCCATATTAATCTAAAATTGATGATAAAATATTTTATATTGATGAAAAATTGTATAATAATATTAAAAAATTACTTAGAGAATTTTTGGGATTTTTTCAGGTTTTTTTAAATAATAACATATGATTTTCAAATTTGTTTGACATAAATACCAAATAAAGA